TCCATTCTCTACTCCAATCCCCCGGATTCCATCCCTGATTCCATCCCTGCTCCCATCCCTGATTCCATTCTCTACTCCAGTCCCTGATTCCATCCCCTGCCCCATCCCTGTTCCCATCCCCCTGCTTCTATCCCTGTTCCAATCTCCTGTTTCCATTCCTGTTTCCATCCATCCCTTGCTCCCATCCCTTGCTTTTATCCCAGCTCCCATTCCGTTTCCATCTCCTGCTTCCATCCCCTGCTCCAACCCCTCTGCTGCCATTCCCTTGCTCCTATTCCCTGCTCCTGTCCCCCCATTTCCATCCTCTCCTCCATTCCCTGCTCCAATCCCTACTCTTGTCTCTCCCATTCCCGTTTCCATCCTCACTCTCCCATTCCCTGCTCCCATTCCCATTTTCATCCCTTCACTTCCATCCCCTGCTCTCACCTCTCTGCTCCCATCCCAGTGTTTCCATTCCCTGTTTCCATCCCCCTGCTCCCATGCCTCCATCCCAAAGCAATTCCCCCAAAAAATCACAACTCCAGGAATTTCAGACCCTGGGAATCCAAGCCATTCCCAAAAAAATCACAACTCCAGGAATTCCAGCTCTTGGGAATCCAAGCCATTCCCAAAAACATCACAACTCCAGGAATTTCAGATCCTGGAAATCCAAGCCATTCCCAAAAACATCACAACTCCACAAATTCCAGACCTTCAGAATTGAAGCCATTCCCCAAAATAGCACAACTCCAGGAACTCCAGATCTTGGGAGTCCAAGCAATTTCCCCCAAATACCAGAAAGTCAGGATTTCCAGACCTTGGGAATTGAAGTGATTCCCAAAAAACACCACAACTCCAAGAATTCCAGACGCTGGGAATCCAAACAATTCCCAAAAAGCACCACAACTCCAGGAATTCCAGACCTTGGGAATTGAAATGATTCCCCAAAACCACCACGACTCTACAGATGTGGTTGGGACCTTCCTGAGCTTCCCTGTCCACCTCCCACATTCCCAAAAATCAGCGCATCACAAAAACAGGAACACCCCCAAAATTGGGCATATCCCAAAATTGGCGCTTCCCAAAAATTGGCACATCCCATAAACCAGCATGTCCCCCCCAAAAATGGGCATATCCCAAAAAATGATGCATCCCAAAAATCAACGTATGGCAAAAAATCAACACATCCCTAAAATCAACACATCCCAAAAATCAGCCCATCCAGAATTGGTGCATCCCAAAACCTGATGCATCCCAAAAAATGGAAACATCCCAAAAATTGGTGCATCCCAAAAATCAGCACATCCCAAAATCAACACATCCCAAAAAACGATGCACCACTAAAATGGGCATATCCCAAAATGGGCAAATCCCAAAATGGGTGCATCCCAAAAATCCATGCATCCCAAAAAAGCAATGCATCCCAAAATGGGCAAATCCCAAAATTTTCGCATCCCAAAAAATCCATGCATCCAAAAAATGGAAACATCCCAAAAAATGAAAACATCCCAAAAAATGGACATATCCCAAAAATTGTCACATCCCAACATCGACACATCCCAAAAATCCGGCGCATCCCAAAAAAGGAAAGGTGCATCCCATAAACTGGAGCATCCCAAAAAATGGGCACATCCCAAAAATCATTGCATCCCAAAAAATGGATGTATCCCAAAAAATGGATATATCCCAAAAATCGTCACATCCTAACATCGACACATCCCAAAAACCTGGCACATCCCTAAAAAGGAAACGTGCATCCCATAAACTGATGTATCCCAAAAAAGGAAATGTGCATTCCATAAACTGTTGCATCCCAAAAAATGGACACATCCCAAAAATCATTGCATTCCCAAAATGCAAACATCCCAAAAAATGGACATATCCTAAAAATCATCACATCCTAACATCGACACATCCCAATATCAACACATCCCATAAACTGGCGCATCCCAAAAAATGGACACATCCCAAAAATCATCGCGTCCCAACATTGACACATCCCAAAAACCCGGCACATCCCAAAAGAGGAAACGTGCATCCCATAAACTGGTACATCCCAAAAAAGGAAATGTGCATCCCATAAACTGGTACATCCCAAAAAAGGAAAAGTGCATCCCATAAACTGGTACATCCCAAAAAAGGAAACGTGCATCCCATAAACTGGCGCATCCCAAAAAATGGACACATCCCAAAAATCATCGCATCCCAACATGGACACATCCCCAAAACCCCGGAATTTTCCACCCCCGCTGCTCCTCTCCCACGTCCCCTCCCAGCCCCTTCACCCTCAGCCCCGAATTCCCAGAATTCCAAGAATTCCCGGGATTCCCAGAATTCCCGGGGTTCCCAGAATTCCTACCCTTCTTGCGGCCGCCCTCCTCGGCCTCGGGTTTGCGGCTGACGGACACGACTTTCATCAGGAGGTGATTCCCGCCCTGCCGGATCAGCGCCACCACCTGCTTGTGCCCCACCTTCACCACGTTCACGCCGTTCACCTGCGGCCCCAAAATCCCAGAAAACACGGATCAGAATTCCCGGCACCGGGATAAAAAAAACCAACCTAAAAAACCCAAAAACCCCAACAACAACAACAACAAAACCCCAAAAAACAAACAAAAACCCCAACAAGAAATGGGAGAAATCCGTAAAAAATTTAAACTTTTCCCGTTTTTTCGCAGCGGTTGGGAATCACCGCCCGGTGGTGGCGAGGAGGATGATGGGAATCTGCGTTTCCAACCTCAAAAAAATGGGATTTTTCCCGGTTTTTTTTTTTTTTTTTGGAGTTTCTGGTCAGCCCCGGAAATGTTCGGAATTCTTGGATTTCTGCTCTCTGGGAATTTGGCTGGAATGGTGATGGGCTTGGAGAGGTGGGAAAGGGACAGGCTGGGATCATGGGGAGGATTTTGGAGAATCCCAAATTCCCTGGAATGGGAATCCCAAGATTTCTGCTCTTTTCTCTGGGTGGAGGTTGATCCCAAAATTCCTGGAGTTCTTCCCAATGCTCCATGTCCATCCCATGGATCTGTCCCAAGGGACGGCCCTGAGCCCATTCTGACTCCTTGGCTCCCAAATTTCTGGGAGAATTCCCTTTTTCCCAAGGGAATTCCCAAGCCTGGAACCTTCATTCCCTGCTGGAATGGGAAATTCCCAAGGTTCTCCTGTCAGTCATTCCCGGGTTGGGAATGAAATCCCGGAATCCCTGAGGTTGGAAATCCCACCAGGAGCATTCCCAGCATTCCCAGCTCTGCCATTCCCACCCCTGATCCATGGATTTGAAATCCCTCGGGAATGGGGATTCAGCTCAGCCCATTCCAATCCTTCCCAGACTTTTCCAGGAAGGATTTTTCCCATATATTCCATTCCTGCCTCAGCTTGAGGCCATTCCCTCTCACCCTTTTCCCTGGATCAGGATCTGATCCCACTTGGATCCAGCCAGGGAATTGTTGGGAATTGTCTCTCAGTCCTAATTCCATCGATTTCCAACCAAATCCCTCAGTTTTGAAGGAATTCCAAAGCTCCAACAAAACCCTCAGGATAACCTGAGCCCGATCTCTGCTTCCACAGAATTCCTTGGGATTTGAATCCCGGAATTCTTTGTGCTCCCAACTCATCCCTGCCTCGATTTCCCTCCCTCTGGAAAACTGGGAGAGCCCAATCCTCATCCCGAGCCTCGGGAATTCCAGGGCTGAGCAGCATTCCCAGACCCCCCTCCCGGAGACCTTCGGGATCCGCTCTCCCAGCCCGGTAATTTGGGAATGGATATTTTTAGGAATTCCTCTCTCCTTGGTTACTGGGAAACTTCGTGTTCCGGAGAAATCCGAGCTCCGGATTCGTTCCCAACTCGGAGCAGAACATTCCAGCTTTTTTTTTTTTTTTTTTTTCCCCGCACCAGAATATCCCAAATTTTGAGCATTTCCATTAAAAAAAAAAAAAAAATTGGGAGCTGGATCAGCCTCTTCCCTTTTTTTTTTTTTTTTAAATATTTAATTTTCTTCCCCCCCAGCTCCCAAATTCCCAATGATCCGAAATCCCGGCCTTTGATATTTCCTCGGATCCTTTTTATCAACCTCCCACACTCCGGAGCCGGAATTATCCACATTTCCTGCTTTTTTTACTTCCTGACCTTTCCAGCAGGGAGAGGATCTGGGAATGGTTCAGCTCTCCCTCATTCCCACAATTCCAGAGGGGGAATTTTTTTGTCCCGGAGAATTTCCCCCCCCACCACCCCACCCTGGATTTTTGGGCTCTGTGTCCTTTAAAAAAATCTTGGAATTTTGTCCATTGGGATCATGGAATGATTGGGATTGGATCGTCCCATTCCCATCCCTGCCCAGAGTAGGATTTTTCCTCATTCCCAAAGAAAATCATGGAATTCTTGAGGTTGGAAAAGCCCTCAGAGACCACCACTAATGCACATTCCCAAATCTGGGATTTTTTAACATTCCCAAGGATTTGACTCCACCCCTTCCAAAGTTTCCCGACCCTTTCCATGGAGCAGCATTCCCGAATATCCCATGGAAACCTCCCCAGGGTGTGCTGGGATCCTGCCTGGATCCATCATTCCCATTTTTTTCCTTTAAAAAAACTCTGAACAGCAATAAAATCCGGCCCCAAATCCTGGAAATATCCACGGATTTCCAGCCATGTCCGTAGCCCAAATCCTGGGAATTCCCAGCCAGATCCTCAAGGAATCATGGAATTCTCATGGAAATGGTCAAAGGCTCCTCATGGAAAAAAATCCCAGGATTTAAAACCTGCCAGGATGGGGGGAGACAAAAGGCTGGAAATTCTGGATTTTCCTTGGGAATTCTGGTGGGATTTTCCCAATCCCAACCCTTGGAAAGGTCGGATCTCATCCCAAACCGGGCAATTCCCGAGCCTGGCACTGGGAATTTTCTCATGGAGCCATCCCTGGAATGTGGCTCGTGGGATGATGGAATTGCTGAGGTTGGAATCAAATCCCAGAATTCCCAGCTCTGCCAGGATCCAAGTCCTCCAAATCCACTGGGATTTGAAGCCCTCCAGGAGGAATTTTCCTGATTTCCAGCCTCAACTGCGGCTGTTCCAGAGGCAGATCCCGATTTTCCAGGAGGAATTCCTGCCCAGTTCCTTCCTGAAGGGAATTCAGGGCTGGAATTGGCACCGAGGGCAGCTCGGGGGAGCTCCAGGAGAGACCCAATTCCCAAAGGGAATGTGGAGAATTCCAGATCCTCCTGCTCCACACCTGGAGAATTCCAGATCCTTCTGATCCAAACCCAGAAACTTTCAGAAGATCCATGACTTGAGGGAATCTGGATCCCTCTGGATCCAAATCTGGAGAATTCCAGACCCTCCTGATCCACTCCTGGAAAACTCCTGGAAGCTCCTGATCCACACATGGGGACTCTGGATCCCTCTGGATCCACACCTGGGGGACTCCTGGGAGCTTGGAATCAGCAGGAATTTTTCCCTGGAAAAGGGCGGCCAGGCCCAGGAAGGTTTGGAGTCGCCATCCCTGGAGGTGTCCCAGGAATTCCTGGAATTCCACTCCATGCTCTGGGCTGGGGATCTGGCCCAGCTTGGACTCGGTGCCCTTGGAATTCTTTTCCAAGCTCCGGGATCCTGGGATTTGGAGGAGAAGCACGTGGGAACAGCTCCGGGATTTTGGGAAGCAGAGCAGGGACATTCCCGGTGTCACACTGGCCCCAAAAGGAAGTTCAGGGAATATGCGAGGCTGGAGCTGGGAAATTATCCATGGAAAAGGGGGAGAGGAGGAAAATCCGGAAATTGGATTCCACGGACAAAATGAGGCAAAGGGACAATTCCCAGTGGGGATGGAGAGCTCAGGGAATTCCCAAATCAGGTTCCTGAATCCCCTGGAACGAATCCAGAGGAGGCCCTGGAGCTGCTCCAAGGCTGGAGCCCCTCTGGAACCAGGCTGGGAAAACTGGGAATATTCTCCTGGAGAAGGGAAGGATCCAGGGAGAGCTTCCAGAACATTCCAGGGATTAAAGGGGCTCCAGGAAAGCTGGAATTTGGGAAAGGCATGGAGGGACAGGACACAGGGAATGGCTTCCACTGGGAAAGGGGAGTTTGGGGTGGGAATTTGGGAAGGAATTCCTGGCTGGGCTGGAATTCTCAGAGCAGCTGTGGCTGCCCCTGGATCTCTGGAATGTCCAAGGAAGGATTGGAGCAGCCTGGGATGCTGGGAAGTGTCCTTGGAATTAGCTTTGAGGTCTCTTCCCACCCAAACCATTCCAGGATTCCACCTGGGATAAATCTCTGGCACGTGCTTTGGGTGGGAATCTGATCCCAGCCATTCCCTGTCCTGTCCCTCCACGCCTTTCCCAAATTCCAGCTCTCCTGGAGCCCCTTCAGGCCCTGGAATGTTCTGGAAGCTCTCCCTGGATCCTTCCCTTCTCCAGGAGAACATTCCCAGCTCTCCCAGCCTGCCAGGATCCATCCCAATCCCAACACTCCTCACATTCCATTGGAATCCAACTTTCCATGATCCATTTTTCCAACCGAAGCAGCTCCTGGACCATTCCCTGAAGCATTCCTTGGATTTCCCACTGGAAAACCTTTTTTCCCACCTTTCCAAACTCCAGCCCTGTCCCATTCCCACCAATCCCATCCTGCAGGGACTCAGGGAACTCCAAACCCCATGGGAACATCCCAGGTTCCTCCTCCAGCCAGGAAAATTCCCTAAAGCACCAACAAATCCAGGGAATTTCCTTCAATCCCGGTGCGTTCTCCACGGGGATGGAGCAGCCACAATTCCAAGGGGATTCACCAGCACTGGGAGAGGCTGGATCCACACCTGGAGAATTCCAGATCTTCCTGATCCACACCTGAAGAACTTCTGGAAGCTCCATGACCTGGGGATTCTGGATCCCTTTGGATCCAGACCTGGAGAATTCCAAAACCTCCCGATCCACACCTGGAGGATTCTGGAGCCCTCTGGATCCACACCTGGAGAATTCCAGCACCTCCTGATCCACACCTGGAGGACTCTGGATCCAGACCTGGAGAATTCCAGAACCTCCTGATCCACACCTGGAGGACTCTGGATCCACACCTGGAGAATTCCAGAACCTCCCAATCCACACCTGGGAGCCCCCTGGATCCACACCCAAAGAACCTCTGGAAGTTCCACGACCCGGAGGATTGCGGATCCTCCTGATCCATACGCAGAGAATTCCAAAATTCCGGGGGAATTCCCCAAATCCCAGGGGAGAGGAGCGGAATTCCACGAGGAGCTCACCTCGATCAGAAAGTCCCCCGTGCGCAATCCCGCTCTCCAGGCGACTCCTTCCACATCCACGGACTCCAGGTACTGCAGCGCTGGGAATGCCGGCGTGGGCGTGAACTCCTCGATCGGGGTCTCGGCTGGAAAACACCACGGGAAGGGGATTGGAGGAATTCCCAAGGAAATTCCACACGGGAAGGCTCAGCCTGCCCACAGCATCCCGAAAATCGTGGAAAAGCCTCGGGGTTCAATTGTTCCCAGCACCGCCAGCCCTGATCCGTGCCCCCAGTGCCGGATCCGCACGGATTCGAATCCCACCGGGAATGGGGATTCCACCCCCCGGCCAGGGCTGGAAGAGCCTCTCCAGGAGGGAATTTTCCCATGATTCCAGGCTGGAACAGCTGGAGGTTGTGTCCCCTTGTCCTGGCCCTGTTCCCACGTCAGTGATGGAATCAATAATGGAATCAGTATTGGAATCAATGATGGAATCAATATTGGAATTAATGATGGAAATAATGAAGAAATCCAAGATGGAATCAATGATGGAATCAATGATGAAAACCAAGATGGAACCAATGATGGAATCCAAAATGGAATCCCTGATGGAATCAATAATGGAATCCCTGATGGAATCAATAATGGAATCAGTAATGAAATTAATCATGGAATCAATCATGGAATTAATGATGGAATCAATAATGGCATCAATGATGGAAATAATGATGGAATCAATGATGGAATCAATAAGGGAACTAATAATGGAATCAATCACGGAATCCAAGATGGAATCAATGAAGGAATCAAGGCCAGAATCCAAGATGGAAACAATCATGGAAACAATAATGGAACTAACAATGGAATCAATGCTGGAATCCAAGGTGGAATCAATGAGGGAATCAATATTGGAATTATAATTGAATCTATGATGGAATCAAATGAAGGAATCCAAGAGGGAATCAATGATGGGATCAATCACGGAACCAATGATGGGATCAACCATGGAATCAATCACAGAGTCATGGAGTCAATTGTTCTGACAATCCCATTGGATCCAACCATTCTCAGTGCTCCCAAAGCCCCCCTGCCCCACATTCCCTGCAGTATTCCCAAGTTCTCTGGACACTTCCAGGGATGGGAAATCCATGAATTCCCTGAAAAATCCACCAGGCTGCAGCAATCTGGGATAGTGGGAGGTGCTGCTCGGAGCAGAGCCACATCCAGGAATTCCTTGGATTCCTCCTGGGATGGCGACTCCAAACCTCCCTGGGCAGCCCCAGCCAAGGCCTGAGCGCCCTTTCCATGGAAAAATTCCCAAAAATCCCAGCGGAGCCTCCCCTGGGCCAGCCTGAGGCGTTCCCTCTTTTCCCGGGGCTCATTCCCGGCAGCAGATCCCGCTTTTCCCGCTTTTCCCTGCACGGATCCCTGGCAGCCCCTGAGCCCTTCCCGAGGCACTGCCACCATTCCATGGGCAGGGATTCCAGAATTCCCCAATCCTGGCCTGCTTTGGGTTGGAAGGAGCTCCAAGCCCATCCCAAAGATCCCCCAGGATCCAGGAGATCCCATGGGAACAGCGCAGGAAGTTTTCCAAGCGTTTCCATTCCCAGGACCTGGGAATTCCACCCTGGGTTGATCCCAAACCTTCAGCTCCCAGAATGGATCCAGAGGATCCCCCTGGAGCCACAACAGCTCTGAAAAACGGGAGAAATTCCCACTGGGAAAATGGATCCCTTAGATCATTCCTGTCTTCCTTATTCCAAGATTTCCCTCATCCCTCTCACTCCCAGCTTCCCATGGAGCTGCGGCGTCTCCTCATCCCCAAATCCGCCAGGAACGGATCAGGAGCCAGGAGGAATTCCCATCCCTATGGATTATCCCACAAAACGGATTTTTAGGATCTGACGGATCCCCGAGGTGATCCCGGTGGCCTCTCCTGCCACGTCCTCCCCACACCATTCCCAACATCCCCCTCCCTTCCCACCAAACCCAAGCCTCCGACTCCACCCGGATCCAAGACTTTTCCTCCTTTCCCCGTTTTTTTTCCCCTGACGTTTCGGGCGGGATTTTTCCACTGGGGCTGGGATCACACCCAGGGAACCTTTCCCTGCCATCCCTCCATGTGCTGAAGCTTCTCAGCTGCTTCCCACCAACGGCTTTCCACGATTCCTGCCTTTCCCGGGAGAAGTGGCAAACGCCTGACAGCTCATCCCTATTTTTAGACATCCCAACGGAATATCGGAGCGCTCTCCAAACCCTTCAGGATCCCTTCCAGGCTTTCATCTCCCGCCACCCCAGGCTGCTCCAAGGGCCTTGGACACTTCCAGGGATATCCAGGGGCAGCCGTGGATTCTCTGGGATAAATTTCACGGAGCGAATCCCACATCCCATGGATCCCACAGCATCCCATGCCAATCCATGCCTTCAGTTATCCATGTGTCATTCCAGGCACTTTTCCAGCTTTTTTTTTGTTCCCCGTGGGCTGGGAGCCACCAGCCCACAGCGGGTTCATGTCGTGATCCAGGATTTGGGAAGTGCCACCGGAGCCTGAAGGATTCGGCAAACGGGAAAATGCTCGGGAATTGGGGATTGTCTCCCTAAGGAATAAATTCTGGGAGCAGAATTTCATCCAGGAGGGGACAAATGGACACAGGGACACTTCCCACCATCCCAGAGTGCTCCAAGATTTCCTTGGGCGTTCCAGGGGTCCAGGGATTCTCTGGGAATTCCAGCCCAGCCAGGAATTCCTTCCCAAATTCCCACCCCAAGCTCCCCTTCCCAGGGAATTCCCTCCATTCCCAGCTCTCCCAGCCTGGCATTGGATCCCTCCCACCCCAACTCCACTCTAGGAAGGAATTTTGGGATCCGGGGGCTTCACTGGGAACCTCAGGACTCCAGGAAGGGTCTCCCTTCCCTTTTCCATCCCCAAATTCCATAAAAATCCCTCGGGATGGATTCTGAGCATCCTTGATCCCAGAATCCCGGAATGGTTTGGGATGGGATCCCTGGACCTCCAATCCCATCCCATTCCAATCCCACCATCCCAGGCTGCTCCAACCTTTCCTGGGACATTCCAGGGATCCAGGGATTCTCTGGGAATTCCCAAATTCCCACCCAATCTCCCTGTTCCCAGTGGGAAGCCATTCCCTGTGTCCTGTCCCTCCACGCCTTTCCCAAATTCCAGCTCTCCTGGAGCCCTGGAATGTTCTGGAAGCTCTCCCTGGATCCTTCCCTTGTCCAGGAGAACATTCCCAGTTTTCCAGAGGGAAGTTGATCCAATCCCTTCTCATCCTCGTGGCCTCCTCTGGATTTGCTCCAGGATTTCCTCCTGGTGTTGGGAGCTGCCCTGGTTCCAGAATCCTGGAATAGTTTGAGTGGGAAGGAGCCAAATCTCAGCCAATCCCAGCCCTTGGACACTTCCCACTTTCCCAGAGTGCTCCAAGCTCTTTCCTGGCCTTGGGAATTTTTATCCCAGGTTTTACAATCCCTGGGGATGGAGAAGGAAGAGGAGAAGGACATCCCTGCTCCCAGCAAATCCTGGGAATCCTGATCCGCCTCTCCTGGTCCCAGCTCAGCCACTCCCAAAACCAGTTTGGGACCAACCCATCCCAACCCAGGATCCATGGAATTCTCCAGGTGTGGAAATCAGGGAAAATCCATCCCTAAATTCCATCCCAGGGAGGAAATCCAATGGGAAGAGTCTCCCATCCAATGGGAGAACCAATCCAAAAAGTTGGGAATTAAATCCAGGAAGTTCCCACTGGGAATGAGGGGAATTCCCTGAGCAGGAGGTTCAGCCTTTCCCACTAAAACTCTGGACTTGGAATTCTGGGAAGCACCATTGGAACCCCCTGAGGATCCCCCACAGCTCTGGTCAGGGAATTGGGAATTCCTGGGCTTAAATTCCCACAATTCCCAGCTGGAATTCCAGAGCAAGCTGTGGGAGAAGCCCTGGCAGAGCTGGGTCACCAAGAAGGTCTGGGAGCATCAAAATCCATCCTGGAGGAACAAAATTCCATCCAGGAGGAACAAAATTCCATCCTGGAGGAACAAAATTCCATCCAGGAGGAACAAAATTCCATCCTGGAGGAACAAAATTCCATCCTGGGGATCAAATCCCATCCAAGATGACCAAATTCCCTCCTGGAGAGACAAATCCCATCCAGGAGGAACAAAATTCCATCCTGGAAGAACAAAATCTATCCTGGAGCAACCAAAATCAATCCTGAGACACAAAATCCCTTCCTGGGGATCGAATTCCGTTCTGGAGACATCAAATCCCATCCAGGGGACACCAAATCCCATCCCAGGGATCAAATCCCATCCTGGAAGCACGGAATCCCATCCTGCTCAGCCCTGGCAGCCCAGGCAGTTGGGGGAGATCCCCATCCCATGGATCCCAGAAAGTTCCAAACTCCGGGAATTCCCAAAGGATTTCTCCAATGCCAGAGATGGTGGAAAGCTCCAAAGTCCCAAAGGAATTCCCAAGGGATCCATCAATTCCACAGATCCTGACAAGTTCTGAGCTCAGGGAATTCCCACCTGGAATATCCAACCCCCAGCCCAGCTCGAGGCCGTTCCCTCTCCTCCTTTCCCTTGGGATTGGCTCCTTCCCTGGATCCACAGGAAAGAATAACCTTGGGAATTTCAGGAATAACCTTGGGAATTTCAGGAATAACCTCGGGAATAACCTGGTTCTCTGCAGCCAGACCAAGGAAAGCTCATCCCATCCAGCAAAAAAAACTTGGATTAATTCCCTTAGTTTGGATTTTAGGACATATCCTTGTTATCCATAAAATCAGGAAATCATGGAATGGCTTGGGTGGGAAGGGACCTCAAAGCTCATCCCATTCCATGATGACATTCCCATGATCCCAGGCTGCTCCAATCTGGCCTTGGGCAATTCCAGGGATCCAGGGAGAGCCACGGATTCCCAGAGAATTCCCAAGGGATTGGATATGGGGAAAGGCCAGAAACAAGAGCTGCAGAGACCTGGATAAATGGGAAGAATTCCAGTCCCTGGGATGGGATGGGATGGGATGGGATTTGGGATGGGATCCATGGGATGGAATATTCCCCTCAGGAATTGGGAAGAACCAGAGCTGGGATGGGCTGGGAAGGATCCCAGAGTGGGCAGAGCCTTTTCCCTGGAAGTGCTCCCAGGGATGGACACGGGATGGGAGAATTCCAGGAAGGAATTCGCAGCAGGAACAGCAAATTCCTTTAAGGATCATCCCAAAATCCACCTCCCTCCCCCCAACTGGGATAAAACTCCAGCTCTGCCTTTTCCAGCTCCTTTTCCCTCTTTTCCCCCACAAGCCTGGAGGGGTTTTCCAAGAAAATCCTGAGGGAGCAGTGGTGACATGGACGGGGCCAATTCCCAGCCTAAAAATCCATGGAATGCCAGCCTAAAATCCATGGAATGCCAGCCTAAAATCCATGGAATGCTGGGAGAGGGGCAGGGAACCAGGGGGGATTCTGAGCCACTTCCCTCATTTGGGATCTGCTCCAGAGGGAACATTCCCAGATTCTGGACCTTCCATGCCAGGACCTCTCTGCATCCTCGAACTCCTTGTGTCCCACAGAGCTCCCGAATCCCACGGAATTCCCAAATCCCACGGAATTCCCAAATCCCAGAGAGCTCCCAGCGCTTCCCTCAGCCTCAGCGAACGAAGGGAAACCGGGAATGGCAGGAGAGCCAGGAAAGGGGGAAAAAATGGGGGAAAAAAACAGGGAATGGGATTAAATTTCCCGGGTTTTCCAACATAAAAGGTACAGGATTTATCCCAGAAAAAAAAAAAAAGTGGATGCCATTTTGATCCCTGAAGTTTCACTTGGTGTTCCACGGATTTTAAATCCCTTCGGAATGGGAGCAAAATTCCCGCTGGGATGCAAACCCCGGGAGAAGGGACAGAACAGCGGGAATCCAGGAATTCTCCTGGAAAATCCCATTCCAGGCTGGATCTGCAGCTCTTCCCAGCTTTCCTCCCACATGGAAAAACGGCTCCGCTGTCCCTCTGCTCCTGGGAATGCCGGGGGTGGAGAGGTCTCTGCATCCCGAGCTTTTCCCACCTCCTCTTCCCTAAATCCATGGGAACATTCCCAAGTTTCCAAGGGAAATTTTTTTAATTTTTTTTTTTTCTTGCAGCAAAAAGGTGGAATTGTGGCCGAAGGAGCCACGGGAAACTCCCACAAAAGATTCCGGCCCTGGGAGAGCCCCGGGATGAGCCGGGAATGAGCTCCGGGGTGGGAGCAGCAGGAAAAGCTCTCCCGGTTTTCCCCAGGGATCCCAAAAGCCCCCAGCTCTCCCCGGCCAAAAATCCAGGGAAAAGCTCTGAGCATTCCAACCCCCCAAAAGCCACGGATGGAGCGGGCCAGGGGCTGTTCATTCCCACAGGGAAAAGGAGCGAAAATTCCCCCAAAATTCCAAGCAGCATCCGCACCAAAAAGCCCCGGGAAGTGGGAAAGGAAAAGAGGGAATGAGGGAATAAAATTCCTTTGGAGCCGCACGGGATTGTTGGGAATGGGGCTCCGGAGCCGAGCAGGGGCCGTTCATCCCCCCGGGAAGCAAAGTGACAATTCCCAGGAATTCCAAGCGGCTCCAGAATCTAAACCCTCCCAAAATTCCCTCAGAGCCACGATGGCAGCAGGACACGGCACTGAAGCGGAGAAATCCGGGGAGGAAAATCCCTTTGGAGCCTCCCAGGATTATCGGGAATGAGAATCCCGAGCCGTTCATTCTCCCAGGGAAGAGGAGAGACAATTCCCAAAAATTCCAAGGCCCCACCAGCACCAAAACCCCCCAAAATTCTGAGAGGCACGATGGCAGCAGGACACGGCACTGAAGCGGAGAAATCCAGGGAATAAAAAATCCCTTTGGAGCCCCCCAGGATTGCCGGGAATGAGAATCCCGAGCCCAGCAAGGGCTCTTTATTCCCTCAAGGAAAAGCAGCGACAATTCCTAAAAATTCCAATCCACCATCAACAACAAAACCCCCCAAAATTCCAAGCCACAACCCAGACCACGACACTGAACCAGCCAGGGAATAAAATCCCTTTGGAGCCTCCCAGGATTATCGGGAATGAGAATCCCGAGCCCAACAAGGGCCGTTCATTCCTTGAGGGAAACGGAGTGACAATTCCCAAAAATTCCAATCCACCAGCAGCACCAAATTCCGAGACTCGGCACCAGGACAAGGCACAAAACCAGGAAAAAAATCCCTTTGGAGCCTCCCAGGATTATCGGGAATGAGAATCCCGAGCCCAGCAAGGGCTGTTCATTCCCTCAAGGAAAAGCAGCGGCAATTCCCAAAAATTCCAAGGCACCAGCAGCGCCAGAAGCCCCTGAAATTCCGACAGAGACACAATGCACCAGGGCAAGGCACAGAACCGGAGAAATCCGGGAAGGAAAATCCCTTTGGAGCCTCCCAGGATTATCGGGAATGAGAATCCCGAGCCCAGCAAGGGCTGTTCATTCCCTGAGAGAAAACCAGGTGACAATTCCCAAAAATTCCAATCCACCAGCAGCACCAAACCCCCAAATTCCGAGACTCGGCACCAGGACAAGGCACAGAACCAGGAATAAAATCCCTTCGGAGCCTCCCAGGATTATCGGGAATGAGAATCCCGAGCCCAGCAAGGATTGTTCATTCTCACAGGGAAAACCAGTGACAATTCCCAAAAATTCCAATCCACCAGCAGCACAAAACCCCCTGAAATTTCAAGCCACAACCCAGACCACGACACCGAACCAGCCAGGGAATAAAATCCCTTTGGAGCCCCCCAGGATTGCCGGGAATGAGAATCCCGAGCCCAACAAGGGCTGTTCATTCCCACGGGGAAAACCAGTGACAATTCCCAAAAATCCCAATCCACCACCAGCACCAAAATCCCCCCAAACCCCTTCAAAACCCCAAATCCACGCCACCGCCCCAACCCAATCCCCCCCAGCCCCTCCGCCTCTCCTCTCCTCTCCTCTCGCCGCCGCCCGCTGCACCACCACCACCACGGGGGGGGAAAAAAAAAAACCCAAAAAAACCTGGAAGAAAGGAGCTCCATCCATCCATCCATCCATCCATCCATCCATCCATCCATCCATCCATCCATCCCTCCCCGCTCACCTTTGGCCCCTCGCAGCACGAAGCCGAAGCCCTCATGCTCCCGTTTCTGCAGCACGGCCGTCTTCTCCTCGATGATGTAGTCACTGGGCAGGAAAGAGCACAAGAGAATGATGCCCGGGTTAGAGCGCAGCACCATCGCTGCCAGCCGCGGTGGCCTCTGTCACCACCCTGTCACCAGCCGGGGGTGGCCTTTGTCACCAGCCAGGGGTGGCCTTTGTCACCAGGAGACCTCTTCGCATCCAGCCTTTCATCTCCGCAGGGATCGGCTTCCCCTCCCTTGCTCTTTCTTTCTTTCTTTATCTCTCTCTTTTTTTTTTTTTT